AGTGATAAACTCGTCCTTGGAAGATAATCCAAAATGAATAATGTTTGTTACGTTAATTATGCCTAAAATCTTTGATACCAATTGTTGGGAATTCAAGGATCACGTATCGCTCGATACCACTTGATATGAAACCAACCACCTAATTGAGATGTTAAAGTTATATGGGAAAATATGAAGTATATAATTGTAAGCATAAGAATTAAAAAAGACAAGAAAATAAGGTAGAGGAATTAGGAAATTTTTATTGCACTACAAATAATGAAGATGGAGAAATATTACAATGATCTTAAAAGTTAGTAATCACTTTTCTCATATTATAGGGAACATGTAGGGGACGTCTGCTAGCCTTGCTGTTATAAAACAACAACCTGCCGCATAAGCGCTGCGACCTTGGTGCCAGGTCTCGGCAAAAAAAACTTCCAATAGTGTTTTTCTCCATTCTGAACTCTATTTCAAGTCCAATACCAATTTTCAACTCCCAATGAGCTTTCAAAATAGAGTTTCAACTTAATATATGACTCCAATAGCATTCCAAATTGAATTCTTCTTGACATGAACTTCAAGTAGAATTTTTCGATTACTTCAACTAAGAATTCGAGCCATACCCAAATTCTAGCAATCTCCACCTTGACACGAATTCCTCTGCAATGAATAAAGTACCAAAATATTCTCCACCTGGAAAAGAAAATCCATTTGCAAATGTTGAACTGGCTCTTCAACAATAACCAAAACTGATTTCTCCAACCAAATACAAAATACTCTTCATCTTCCAATGAATCCAAGCACTACTCTTCAAAATTATCTTAAATTCCCCAAAAAACATAATGATTTTAAAATTCACCAAATTGGGCTATAACACACCCCAAAGTAGAATCAAACTCAAATTCTTTTAAAGAAGGCCCTTTACTAGATTGTACATGCTCAACAAAATTAACATTCACATACCTTTTTCCACTGGATCCGTCTCTAGCAATTGAATACAATGATACTGTAGATGATGGTGACAAAGCTGCATTATCCACATCTTCTGAACTCCACTGAGCTATATTATTCAAATATAACCCTTTACGAGCTCCTAAAAGTATTCTACCAAACTGAATGTCTACCACGATACTGAATATGTGCTGATTAACTCTTTTAAATTTTGCACTACCCTGCAAGATGTATAATGTGACATTTTATGTCCCTTCAATACAACTTGGGCACCTTTACAAACTTTCAAATCTCAAACTCCACCAAAGAACTCATAACCCTTTGAATCAATGATGGACAACGAGATGAGATTCTTCTTCAAATCCAAAACATGTCGAATTTGGTTAAGTGATCTAATTGTCCCATCCAATAGCTTCAATCTGACCGTACAAATTCCAGCAACCCGACAAAGTGTGTTGTTTCCCATAACTACGACACATTTGGAAACTGTTTCATATGTAGTAAACAAGTCCTTATTAGGAAACATATGAAACACACACGCTGAATCCTGAATCTAATCCTCTTCTGGTTTAGACTCGATGCCAGAAATAGCCAAGAGATCTCCATCACTTACAAAGTTCTCTACGAAGTCTGTTTCACCTAAAGTCTCTGATTTCTTACCATATCGACTTGCAGCCAACCTTTATTTATTCTACAATTTGTAGCAATCATTCTTCATGTCCCTCTTCTTCTTGCAGAAATTACAAAATTAATTACTGAACATAGACTTCGGTCTATCCCTTCCAGAACTACCATAAGCAACAAGTTCATTTTCCATCTTTGACCTCTGAAACCAGATGCTTCATTTTTTCTTTTGAGAACAAAGAATCATACACCTCTTCATGGTAAGAGTATTACGATTATACAAAATCGTGTCTCTAAATGAAGAATACGAAGTAGGCAACGAACACAATAGGATCAAAGCCAAATCTTCTTCATCATACTTTACTTTCAAAGTTTCCAAATCAGCGGCGATCTCTTTAAATACAGCAATGTGATCTTCCAATGATCATTTTTCTGCCATTCGATGAGAGTATAAACGATGTTTGAGATAGAATTTACTTGTTAGACTTTTAGTCATGACAATTGCTCCAACTTCAATCATATAGCAGCTGCTGAACTCTCATTCAAATCGTCCTGAAGAATGGTATTCGATAGATGAAGATAAATGTGAGAAACTGCCTTCTAATCCTTTCGTAATTTATCTTAAGCTGTCAAAGTTGCAGGCATCATGTCAATTCTTAGAAACACATAATCCAAATCCTGCTGTGTGATTACTGCACGTATCTTAACCCGTCATAGCGAAAATCTAGTGCTCCGATTCAAAAGCGGAATGTCATATTTCATAGATGCCATCACGAACAAAAACTTGAACAAATCAAACCCTGCGCTCTTGCGGAATAGCTAAACCTAGGCTATAATACCAATTGTTATATTAATTATGCCCAAAATCTCTGATACCAATTGTTGAAAATTCAAGGATCATATTTCGCTTGATACCACTTGATATGAAACCAATCACTGGATTGAGATGTTGAAATTATATGGCAAAATACGAAGCATATGATAGTAAGAAAAAGAATAAAAGAAGACAAAAAAATATGGTAGAGGAATTATGAAATTTTATTGCACCACAAATAATGAAGATGGAAAAACATTATAATGATCCTAAAAGCTAGTAATAACTTTTCTCACACTATTAAAAGTGGAAATTACACAAATCCCTATTTTATGTATTCAACATTCTAAAATCAGGTGGAAAGTTTAATATTTCAAAAATCAGATATTTTATATTTATATATTAAATATTAATTAAACAATTTTTATCCCAACCCTAATTAATTCCCCCCCAAAGGCCAAAACCATGTCTTCTCCTTCTCTCTCCCCTATGCCTACCTCTCCAGCCACTGTAGCCGTCGTCGCAGATATGAAACGCAACACCCACCGCCGGATTGTTGTAAGGACGACACCACCACCTCTCTAAGGTGGCGTCGCTCTGAAGCAGCAGCGTCGCGATCATTGCGAAGATGCCGCACCACCGTTCAAGATGGTCATCGCTGCCAGTCACTACAAAAACCTGCTAGATGTGAGCGTCGAGCGATTTGAACGCTGGCTCCGTCGCAGCGGCGATTTGAATTTTTGGGTGTGCAAATCAATTATCCGGCATCGGCTACAATTCGGGACTCGGGAGTGCAGATCCATTATTTTTTTCCTCATATTTGAGTGGTAGTGGTTGACATTGCGGTGGTGATTGATGTGTGCGGTGCGATGTGGTTGGTTTGTGAAGTAGTGGATGTGTGCGGTGCGATGTGGTTGGTCTGTGAAGTAGTGGTGGTTGAAAATGGTGGTTGTGGTGAGTTGTCGGCGGTTGAAAATGGTGGTTGTGGTGAGTTGTCGATTGGTGAGGCTGTGTTGGCGACGTTAGTGATGGTGGTTGTGGTGAGTTGTCGACAGTGGTGGCAGCGACGGAGTAGGGTTAGGGCATGTGAGACGGTGGTGGTGTTGAGGTGGTGCTATATAGTCTATGTGACCAATTCTGTGACCAGAGCCATGTGCTATGACCTGTGTTGTGACCTGAGCCATATGCTGTGACCTATGCTGTGACTATCAACAAAAATCTGAGCGCTTAAAAATAACATGGGACTATGAACAAAATCGTGACCTGTACTGTGACCATTTGAAAATAACATGAGACTATGAACAAAATCGTGAGCC